ATATTATCTCACTTAAGCCCGAAGGTAGCTGAAATCTATGGTACTAATAGTGGCTTGGTGCTATATTCGCAGGAACGCTGCTTGAGAGCTTGAGATGCGGTGGTTGAGTGATCAGAAGGCAGCTGGCAGCTGCCTGGTCCCATTGTGTCTCTGGAGATGACTCTTTTGGCAAAAAGTTAGTTAGCAAGACAGGGTAGCTGCTGCTGGGTATGCAGCTGGGTGGGAAAAGCTCAAGGGACCAGCGGCTTGAGCAGCATTAACAGTATGGAGAGGAGGTTTACAGTTAAGGATTTCAAGAAAGATAAATGAATTGGAAGGTGTTCAGAAAAACCTCAAATGAACTCATTGAAAGGATAATAGCTTTTGTACAGACTAAGAAATTGTAGTTCCTTAATTTGGAAAAATGAAATTAAAGGGATGGTAAAAGTTTAAAATCATGAGACAATAGAATGAGTATGTTGAGTCTATATAAAAATTGTAATGGGTCAATTTAATAGAATATAAGATATTGAATTCATATTCTTCTGAGTCTTTCCCCCTCTGTAAAAGTTTAATTTATAATTTTTCATTTCCTTCCTTTTTAATTTCCACACAGGGAATTGAGACCCAATGAAGAAGTCACCTGGAAGTAAAGGCTGTGACTAAATTACAGAATGTTCACATTTTAAAAGTTAGGAGAGAAATAAAACCACATTCATTATTTAATATGAAGTATGATTCTTTTTAGCTTAAAAATAAATAATTATTGAGTACTTGATTGTGTACATTGATGGTAAATTTACAATTAAATTTTCATTTTGTTTTCTTTATTTTAGGCCATAGTACTATTAAATAGTAGAGCCAATTTTTTCCTCAGGTATTTTTCAGAATTTTTTTTAAACTGTACTTTAGAATGATGATAGTAGCAGAAAATTTTAGTGACCTTGAGTTTCGCAAAGATTTCTTGAATACAACACATAAAGCATGAACTAATTTTAGAAATTTTTGTTCTTCAAAAAACACTTAGGAAAAGGCAGCCATAAACCAGGGGAAAGAATTTGCAAAACATAATATACAACAAAGAACTTATATCTAGAATATGTAAAGAACCCTTATAACTTAATAAGATAACCCAATTTTTAAAAAATTATTCATTTATTTATTTAATCTCTACACCCAACGTGGAGCTCAAAGTCATAACCCTGAGATCAAGAGTTGCATGCTCTTCCAACTGAGCCAGCCAGGTGTCCCAAACCCAATTTTTCAAGTGAGCAAAATTTAATAGATACTTCACCAAAAAGATAAAAGGATGGCAAATAAAGCACATGAAAAGACTCCCAACATCAGTAGTCATTATGGAAATACAAATTTAAGCCACAATGAGATACCACTACACACCTATTAGAGTGGTTAAAATTAAAAGACTGATCCTATTACTGGTGTTCGCAAGGGTGCAGAGCACCTGGACCCTCACACACTGCTGGCAGGAAAGTAAATCATAGCTGCCAGGAGTTGTACCACTTTGGAAATCAGTGTAGTGGTTTCAAGTGAAAATAACACCTACCATATGACCCAGCCATTCCACTCTGAGGTATTCATCCAAGATAAAGGAAAGCTTATGTTCACACAAAGACTTACATGAATGTTCATAGCAGCTTCATAATAGCAAAAAATTAGAGCTAACCCAAATGTCCATCAACAAATAGACAAATTGTATTAAATCTATACAATGGAATACTACTCAGCATTAAAAAAGAAATGATCTATTGCTATGACATTGATGAATTTCAAATTAATTATCCTAGATGAATGTAGCCAGATAGCACGCACTTTACGGATCCATTTATCTAAAATGTTAGAAACTGTATACTATAGTTAAAGCAGATCAGTGGTTGCCTGGAGGAGCAAGATCCAGAAAAGGGTTAGAGGTAAGCATTACAGGAGGGCACAAGGAAACATTGGGATATAGGTGGTTCATTCTCTTGCTCGTGATGGTTCCATGCATATATACACGTTACCTGTTGTATTCAACTACTTCTCGGAAAACATTTTGTTTTAGGTAATATTGAATTTAGGAGAAGCAAAATGAAAATGAAATGATACTCTAATTATTACTGCTGGGTATTTGTTAGTGTAATTAAGATCTCAGCATGAATTACTCTGGATTAGAGTAGGATCTAAATCCAATCATTAGTTCTTGAAAGAGGAGAGGAGAGAGACAACAGAAGGCCATGTGAAGAAGACCAAAGCCGAGGTTAGAGTCTTGCAATCACAAGCCAACTAATGCTAGGAGCATCTAGAAACTGGAAGAAATAAGGAAAGGATTCTCCCTGTGACCCTGGAGTATGGTTCCGCTGACTGGTTTCAGGCTTCTGGCCTCAAGAATATTTAGAGGATAAATTTCTGTTGTTTTTAGCCACTGAGTTTGTGATGCTTTGCAGCAGCCATAGAAATGATTACAGTCACATTTTTTTTTCTGAATAATACATTAAGTAGTTTAAAAATCAAGAATAAAACTGTATACAGTGAAAAGTCTTCCCACCACTGCCTCCTATTTACCTAGTTCTCTTACCATCTCAAACTTGTACATAACCTCTAGGTGCCCTGTATATTCTTCCAGATATTTGTAATGTATATGAACAAAAAATTAGTTTCTGTACACACTTTCTTTAAAAAAAAAAATCAGAAAAAAATGGTTGCATATTTTTTTGCTTCATGAAACCATGATTTATTTGCCCAGTCAGGCCACAGTTCCTTAAGAACATGCATGGACTGTTTCCCCAGTACAGGATTGTGGACTATGCACATGAGGGTTTCAGTAAATAGTGACTAGTATTGAGCACCTGGTCCTCACTGGAACACTCCATTTCCTTATCTCCCACTGCCCCTTCTGTTCCTCTGAGCCTACACTCACCCAAGTCCCCAGTGGTCTCCATAGCAGCATAATTTAGTGGACTCCTGTAAGTCCTTATGTTGCAGGATCTCTTGGCAGCAACTGACAGACTGATTCTTGAAACGTTCTTTCTCAGGGCTTTGATAACTTTACACTCTCCAAGTTTTCCTCCCTTGTCCTTGGCTATTCCTTCTTGACCCTGAAGGTTCTGCTCTAAATCCTCTTCTCAATCTCTTCCTTTTCCCTTAGATGATTTTATTCACTCCTGTGAATAACTCCCCATTTTACCATAAAACCAAGCCCCTGAACTCCTGACCATTTATATATATATATATATATAAATAGGTATATATTACTTGTCTTATATCTCACAGATATTTCCCAAACCTTGCCCCTTCCTCCAGTATTCCCTATCTCAGTGAATACTATTCCTACCTCGGTGGCTGTCTAGGGCAGAAACCCAGACATCATCCCTACATTTCTGTGTCCCTCACTCCACTCTCACTCAGTTCTATTAAGTCTCCCCACCTTCCTAATTTCTCAAAATGGTCTTCTCTCCACTACAGGTCATTACTCTAGCCCAAACACCATCATCTCTCCCAAGATTCCTTCCACAGCATCAGCTCTTTTTGCAGCTAGAGTGATCTTTGTAAAATGAAAATCTCTTCTCGTTTAAAAATTTTACATAGCTCCTCAACTGTCTAAAAAGCATACCTGCTGGGATGCCTGGATGGCTCAGCAGTTGAGCATCTGCCTTTGGCTCAGGGTGTGATCCCACAGTCTAGGATCGAGTCCCACATTGGGCTCAGAGACTGCATGGAGCCTGCTTCTCCCTCTGCCTCAGTCTCTGCCTCTCTCTCTCTCTGTGTCTCTCATGAATAAATAAATAAAATCTTAAAATTAAAAAGAAACATACCTGCCTTAACCTAATTTCAAGGTTAAACCTGATTCTTTCCTACTCTTTCAGTTTCATCAACACCCTTCTCCCACTTTACTGGACTTTTCAGTTTCTCCAACTCCTGCTTACTTCTCAGGGTCAGAACGCAGACGCTAGTAACAAGGTGTCTGGACTTGGACCCCAACTCAGTGGACCTTGGGCACGGTTCTTTTCTTAACCTCCCTGTGCATCCTCACGTGTCCTCACGTATGAGACAGGAATCATAACAACACCTACAAGGTTGTTGTATTAAATTCGTTAATATATGCAAAGTAGTTTAAAAAGAATGCCTACCTTACATTAAGCTCTATATAAATATTAATTACATTTTTAGGCAAGTGCTAGGTGTTGGGAATGGAATGGCTTTCAGTGGGGGAGGAGGAGAAAGCCATTAAAAATAATCATACCTGATACGCAGATATGAAAAGGAGGAAGTACAACGTGGAAAAACCTAAGAGAACGCATAACCCAGGTATTCCTTATCCAGACCCCTTGAGGCCTGAAAATCCATAGCAATGGGTGGGAAGCAGGGGGGGGGGGTCCTCCAGACCGCAGGGGGCGCTGCAGCTCCCCCAGCCGGCCAGATAAAAGGAAGTGGGAGGACGCGCTGCAAAGGTCACGTGTCCTCGCCTCTCCCGCCCCGGCGTGCACTCGCTCTTTGTCCCACGTGACGCCGGTCCTCGGGGGTGATTGGTCGGGGCGAGGCACGTGGGCAGGGGGGCTCGGGGCGGGGCGGGGCGGGGCGGGGGACGGGGTGGGGCCGAGGGGCGGGGCTGGAGGGGGTGTTTCGGCGCGGGGGCCGTTGGCTCCAGACAAATAAACATGGAGTCCATCTTCCACGAGAAAGTGAGTGTCCGAGTTTGGCGGGGAGCTTGCCCGCCGTGCGGTGGCCGCGGTGAGGCGCGGTACGGTGTCCTCCTGGAGAGCTGGCGGGGGCCCGAGTCGCCCGCCCCATCCCAGGCTGGGCCGGGCGGGCGGGGGGGCTTTCCTGACGTCCCCTCCGCGCCCTCTGCCCGGGCCGGGGACGCCGGGGAGCCGGGAGGGACTGAGGCAGGGCCGGGGGCGCCGGGGGCGCCGGGGGCGCCGGGGGGCGCGAGAGAGGGGTGCCGCCGAGGGGGTGGCTGTGCGCTTCCCCTCCGCTTCCCGTGGGATCCGCGCTCCGGTCCCTGGCGCCCGCTCTCCCCAGGTGTCTGGCCGGTCACGCCTTGGACGAGTGCCTCGCCCCTTCCTAACTCCACCCCACTCCGCCAGCCCTACTCCTGGCAGAATCCACTTTTCCTTGTCTGGGCTCCTCGACCCTATCTTGGAACCTCGCAGACGCTCGGATCTTCGGGGCTCGTTCTCGTCCTCCGGCACTAGGTCCAGAAGCCTCCCGAGGGCGGGGACCTTGGCTCGGCCCGCGCTGGGCCTGACACTTGGGGAAGGGAGGTAGGAAATCCTGCGCGCCGCTCAACAGGGAAGTCGTCCCAAGACTCTTTGTTAGGGGATGTTCGGGTTTCGTTTCTTCGGGTGGTTGGATCCTCCCGGGGCAGAAGGGCGAGCCTCTCCTAGCGGGTATCGGGAGTGGACTGGAATAGTTGTGTTGTGGCGCGCCTCGCCTGCGTCTCGTCTGAGTCTCGGATAACCACGCGCTTTGAAGACGCCGTTTGTGGCACGTGGACAAGCCCATCTCTTCCCACAGACCATAAGCATGCTTGTTTGGGTGTGAGTGAAAGCTTCCTCAGGACAATTTTGGCACGGGATATATTGTCTCATGGTAGTTGCATGTTTGGAAGGGGTGTCCGATGAGTAGGAGCAAAGGGGTTTGATTTTGTCAAGTGCTTATCCACTGAAAAACACACATGCCAAATTTAAACGAATTGTTAAATGGAGTGCTTTTCCCTATAGAAACGATTTTAGCACGTTTTGGGGCTGGGGTAGACCAGTTTTTACGTGTGGGGAAGGGCTCGGTGGTATAGTTATCACTAGTCTTTTGATTGGCATGATTTATGGATCTTGGACAAGAGAAATTTAGTTGCTCGACCAAGGAGATTGGATAAAGAGAACCCTGTGTACACATATTTTTATTACTGATTTTCAAAAGCTTTAGTGTAGGACCAGATGTTTCAAGTGGAAGACTTTAAACGTTTCCACACACCATCTCCTGAGAGCTGTATGTTTTTACAAATACTGATTGGTGGATATGGGTCACTGTTTGCATAGATTTCAGTGAAGGTAACTACTGAACCACCAGATCAAAAGAAGCTGGGCTCTAGCCTCATAAAGGTCTAGTTTCCTGAAGGAAGTCGCTCTCAGTTATCAACATCTGTGACGGCTTTAAAGGTACTTGAGTACAATTTACCTTTATCGTCAACTTATATGTACTCAATAGAAGGCTGGTAAGGTTTTTTGAAGCATAGTTCAAGAATGGAAAGCACCTTGTAACCATAGGGCCCATTGTTAATCTCACACATAGTCCATTCTGGGAATGTTTTAGCTTGATAGGCCATTTTCTGGCGCATTCTCTTCCCCTCTGCCACACATATTTAACCTTTGCTACATACAGCCAGAGAACCACCTTTGGCTCTAAGGAAGCTGTGTATATAAAGATACCTGCCTATAGCAGACCTTGCAGCCAGCTACTTTCTCTTGGAATATTGGTATCCCCCATTTTCAGAGTTATCACTTTGAGTGTCCTCTCTTAAGTTAGAATGCAACAGTTGCTCAGTGATCTGTCCGCAGTGCCCAAGATAGTGCCTGGCAGATAATAATTGCTCAATAAATATTTGAATGAATCAAGAGAGTTTCTTAAGGTTCTGAGATGTGGGTTGTACTATTTATCCGACTTAAATAGTTTTTCTGTATTGTAAGCTTTGCAGGTTGTGTATGGCTTCACGTATTCTTGTTTGTGTGTGTATGTCTGTGTTCCCCAACCATTAAAATCATAAAAACCTGGGCGCCTGGATGGCTCAGTCAGTCGAGCAGCTGGCTCTTGGTTTTTGCTCAGGTCATGATCTCAAGGGTTGTAGGATCCAGCCCTGAGTGGGGTTCATACTGAGCACAGAGTCGGCTTCAGATTCTTTCTCCGTGTCTCTCCCCATTTGCTTGTGCACGCTTTCTAAAATAAATAAAAATATCTTAAAATAAAAATTAAAGAAATAAAAGCATAAAAACCATCCTTAGCTGCTGGAGCAGGTTGGATTTGGCTCATAGGCTAGAGTTTGCCAGCCCATAACTTTAACCTATTATTAATGGTCACCAACTGCTGAGTATCTTGGTTTTTGTTTTAGTTCTGGAGTCTGGTATTTTTCCTTCCTTCCTTCCTTCCTTCCTTCCTTCCTTCCTTCCTTTTTTTTTAAAGATTTATTTATTTATTTATTCATGAGAGAGAGAGAGAGAGAGAGGCAGAGACAAAAGCAGGCTCCATGCCAGGCCCGATGCAGGACTCGATCCTGGGATTCGATCCTGGGACTCCAGGATTGCGCCCTAGGCCAAAGGCAGGTGCTAAACCGCTTACCCACCCAGGAATCCCCTGGAGTCCGGTATTTTCATTGCCATTTCTTTTGCTGCCTACTCTTGGTACAGTCACTGTGCCATCTCCATTGATACTTTTCATGTAATGTGAACTGAGAATGATAATCAAATTTGTTGGGATTGTGTTTAAAATTAATACAAATAGTTAAAAGATGCTGAGCTTTAACTTCATGATCTTCATTTTGCCCTGTGGCGATTCTGGTTCCTAATTGCCTTTAGGATATTTGAGGTTTAGGAATCCCAAATAAGTGGCTTGAGAAAGTAATAATATCACAGGCTTGAAACTTTTGCTGGGTGTGAATCCCAGCTCTGCCATTTACTGCGCATACATCTTGGGCTGGTTACTTACTAAGTCTCTCTGCTCCAGTTTCCTCCTGGAAGATAGGAGGATAATAAAGTGTCTACCTCAGTTAAGCACTTGGAATGCTTCCTGGCATGCATACTGTAGATGTGCTGGCTGTTCTTGTGATTCAGATGCTTGTGTTTGCTGAGCCTCACTGTAGAGCATGAGACTTACCACTGAGATGAGATGAAGATCTGCTGGGTTGACTGTGTGGCCCTTTACATTAGGGCCATTTCTGAGCATACCCTTAGGTTTCTGCCTGGTTTCTGTTGTAATCAGTAGTATCTCCCTGCAGCGTGGGGTGTGATCCTGGAGACCCAGGATCGAGTCCCATGTCAGGCTCCCTGCATGGAGCCTGCTTCTCCCTCTTCCTGTGTCTCTGCCTCTCTCTCTCTCTCTCTCTCTCTCTCTCTCTCTCTCACACACACACACACACACACACACTGTGTGTGTCTCTATGAATGAATAAATAAAATCTTAAAAAAAAAAAGAAAATTTGCATTAGAACTGTTTCCAGAAAATCCAGTGTCTGGTCACTATAGTAAATAGCTCTTGACATGTGAAATAACTGTATCTTAGCAGAGGTTTTTTGTTATTATTTGAACCTTTTAAGTGTAACAATCATATGTTAGGGGTACACAGAACATCATAGTACAGCTCTAAGTTCTGACAAAGTGGACACACATATGTAAATAATGCTTAGATCAGGTAACAGAACATTACCTACATCCCATAAGCTCCACTTAGGCCTCCATCCCACCTTCACCCCTGCAAGGACAATCACTGTCCTGAATTCTAGCATCATAGATTAGTTTTGTCTGTTTTTGAGCTTTAGTAAATGGAATCATATAGTGTGTACGTTTTGAGACTGTCTCAGTGCTCCCTTCTGATTCTGTTGTATACATACCCTGTATCATTTTCAGAAGCTGAATTTTGCTCCTAGAAAAATTTATTCATCAGGAAAAGTATGCATCTTCCAGGGTTCTTTGGAGTCACCATCTATTTTTGTTTTGTTTTAGATTTTATTTATTTGAGAGAAAGAGTATGGGGGGCGGGGGAAGAGAGAGGAAGAAGCAGACTCCCTGCTGAGCTCGGAGCCCAGATACAGGGCTTCCCAGGACTCTGGGATCATGACCTGAGCCACCAAGGCTCCCCAGGGGGTCATCATCTATTGTGTAACATAGAACAAATTGCACAAGGTAAGACAGGTTGGGTTAAGGCATAGACGTTACTAGGGAAAGGGAGATCTTAGAGGACCAGGGAATAGGAGAAGAAAGTGTTCTCTTCTGCCATCCCCCTACAGACGGGTTTGTGTTCACAGGAAGGGATCTCATCCACCAGTGAATCTTCCTTAGAAGGCAAGCATGAGAAAGTGGCATTGTTGTAGGCAGCTGGGTGATAAGCAGACTGCTCAGTGCCATGCAGCTTGGATTTAGATTTGGGGTGCTGGTTGTGTGAGAGCCATTTGCCCAGCACTTGAAGACCCTGGTGCCCATGGAAAGTTGTACTCCCTCCAACCCCCCACAATAGGAAGCCAGTGATACCGATGATTCATCCCATGGCTGCTTGGATGCAGCCCTTCTTGCTGGCTTGTCTGGAAATGAGCTCCAGGGGTGGTTTTTGGAAGTTTTGCTCATTGTACTATACTACATATACACTTTGTGCAGTTAGCTACAAGTCTTCATTAACCTCAAACAGGATCTTTCTTACCTGTATCAATTCTTGAGATTCTTTTGTTCATTGATCTCAAATTCCTTTTTAGATTGAATAGATTGTCTTGTTAAAAGAATACAGATGATCTAGGGATTAAAGTTTCCTTTCAGCATTTTAAATTTGCTGTGGAACCTCCAAAGATACGTGTGTTTTAGGTACTGAAAATGAGAGATGCTAATGTTTTTATAGTTTCTAGTAAAACATGAAATTTGGCATACTTGATAGAATGATGTAAATCATTCTTAAGTTTTTGATCACATAGCTAAATAATTGTAGTTTCATTAGTGGTAAAGTTGTAAGAGTTCAAAAATGAAAATTCATGTACTTAATGTAAATCATGCTTATCAAAAGCCAAAAAGGTTCAGTTTGGCTCTGTTGAGTTAATGATTAAATTCTCTTTAGAGGAAGATACTGAAAAAAAAAATAGAGGAAGATACTGTACAAATCTTGTTTCACAAGTCACATTTGAATTTTTTCTTTTGGAAATATTAGCAAGAAGGCTCACTTTGTGCTCAACATTGCTTGAATAATCTATTGCAAGGAGAATATTTTAGCCCTGTGGAATTATCTTCAATTGCACATCAGCTAGATGAAGAAGAGAGGATGAGAATGGCAGAAGGAGGAGTTACTAGTGAAGACTATCGCACATTTTTACAGGTACTGATTTTAAACTCAGGAAATTGTGGATTTTTAAAATGTGGGTACTGTTTAGAAACGGATGCACCATTTTTCCTATGGGGCACTGACTTGTTAATTATAACTCTGCTCTTGACTGTATAAATGGGATTGCACAAGATGTTATTTTAAAAATGCACACTAATGACAGTTTTAATCCTTCTCTTCCCACCCTCAACCCCCGCCTCAACTACCTATCCACATTAAACAGCAGCCTTCTGGAAATATGGATGACAGTGGTTTTTTCTCTATTCAAGTAAGTAGTCACAAGCATGTACTAAGGGTTGTTTATGTCCCAGGCACTGTTCAAGCTGAGGATATGGTTGATATGAATATTTCTTCACAGCCTTTCATGATCACTGTAATGATGCGACCTTCAGAAATTCCTCCAATAGTTAGTGTCTAAGATTATAAAAAAAATAAAAATCAGCTGTAGAGCACAAGGAAAAAAACTGAAAAAAAAAAAAGTATGAGATTATACTCTAGAGTACTGGATTTTTATAGAGTTAAACATGAAAATTAGGATTGTAGAACCTTCATTTTATTTTATTATTTATTTTTTTAAAGTAAGCTCCATACCCAGCCTGGATCCCAACACGAGGCTTGAACTCATGACCCTGAGATCAAGACCTGAGTTGAGATCAAGAGTCAGACACTTAACTGACTGAGCCAACTGACTGAGCCACCCTGGCATCCCCGAGCCCTCATTTCTAGATTAGGGCTTTTTGAAAGGAGATGATTTAATTTACATCTGGATCCTGATAACCATAATTCCAATAAGTCACAGTATTTCAAACTTACTATTTGTATAAATTTGAGAAAATGCAGCAGCTTACTACCTTCCATTTAAATCCGCCTACCAGGACTGTATCTCTTTATTATGGTCCGTGGCTTTTGCTTGTTTTCTTTTTTGAAACTTACACTCCCCTTGAATTCTGTGGGTGATGGTAGATGTGCTTGTGAGATTCTTTTATCTGGGTCTTTCATTCTGTTTCTCACCCTTGGGAGGTGTGTCCAGAGTTCTTTCAGAACCTCTTCTTGGGGTGTCTGTTTCTACAGATACCTCTGTTGCACCCCCCTGTGCTGTCCTCCTGGATTCCCCACTAAGGAACATTTCCACCCAGCGCTCCACTGTGGATGGCAGTGTGCAGCCACTGCCACAGGGCTAGGGGAAGCTCGAGCAGGTCTGGCACCCGCCATGGCCTATTTGTGTAGAGCTGTTCTTGGTGCCCATTCACCTTTGTCCACCACATGGCATTCACTTTGTATCCAAGCTAGTACCTGCTTCACTCCCTTCTTTGTTGGCCACCCTGGAGGGCAGATAGTAGGTTTTCAGAAATCCATTTTGTTTTCTCAGACAGTTTGAAGTAATCAGATTTATTTTTTGTTCTGGTTTTCTTTCCCCCTATGAATTACAAATCCATGATAATAGAAGCTTAAAGTCTGAGACCTTCAGTTTAAATTCCCAGGAAGAACTCCTAATAAACAAAATTTTCATCACTACTGACAGCCCAGGTTCTGAGTTGAATATAGCTTTTCTAAAGCAGGATCCATAGCAGCCAAATTATCACATGCATATATTGGACTGGTTTTAAGAATAGTACCTGCTGGATCAAATATACATCTGGATTTTTGAGGCAGTTTCATCTAGGAACTGTGTGCTTCTCTGGAACGTTCCAGAAACCTAGTGTAAATAGCACTGTTTTAATGCTATGTTTGTTCTTTATGGATTTAGTGATATATCTATACATACAAACTTTTTTAAAAACCGTAACTTTCCAGGGAAAATTATACATAAAGTACAGTTGTTTATACACTTCACATGACCACACTACTTAAATTTGGAATTGATAGTTTAGCTCATGGAAAGTTGCTTTTTTTTTTTTTTTTTTTTTAAACAGGTTATAAGCAATGCCTTGAAAGTTTGGGGTTTAGAACTAATTCTCTTCAACAGTCCGGAGTATCAGAGGCTCAGGATCGATCCCATGTAAGATTTTATATTGCTTTTCCTAAATTTGACTTTTAAAGTTAGAATTTTTTAAAGAAGAAAAGTATATTTTCAATGCTTTTGTTTTGATGTTCCCGGTTTCATTCCCTTAGAATTTCCTATTATATCTTTTGGGGATGTCTATGAATATCTGCCCACTGAGCCTTCCCCACACCTCAGTGTGTGGCAGCACAGAGCTGATCCTTAAATGCTGTGTGACGCCAGTGTTTTTGCACGGCATTGCTAATCTGCAGAGAGAATTATACCGTTTTGTAATTTCTTAAAAACCAGTGATCCTTAGCTGTAAGCATAATCCTAATGTTTTTTATAGTACTTGCCAATAGATAAACTAAATGAATATGAACTCTACTATTTCAACTTGTGTATGTATTTTTTTCTTTTTCTAGAAATGAAAGATCATTTATATGCAATTACAAAGAACACTGGTTTACAGTTAGAAAATTAGGGAAACAGGTAATGTTTCTCCCCTTCCCCGTCTTTCTTCTCATTTTGCATTCCATTTGCAACTAAAATGTAAAGGATTGGAAAATTAAAGATGAAGAAACTTACCAATAATGTGTATGTGGTATGGTTTCAATCTTGATAGAGATTTGCTATTTTAAAAGACACTATCAGTTCCCCTTACAGATTTAAAACAACCATACATACTTGACTCTTGAACAACATGGGTTTGAACTACATGGGTCTGCTTATATGTGAATTTTTTTTTTAAGATTTTATTTATTCATGAGAGAGAGAGAGAGAGAGAGAGGCAGAGACACAGGCAGAGGGAGAAGCAGGGCACCCGATGTGGGACTCGATCCCCGGTCTCCAGGATCACGCCCTGGGCTGAAGGCAGCGCCAAACCACTGGGCCACCAGGGCTGCCCTTATATGTGAATTTTTTAAAAATACAGTACTGTAAATGTATTTCCCTTATGGTTTTCTTAGTAACATTTTTTTTTCTCTAGCTTTATTATAAATATAAGTATGTAAGGGGCACTTAGCTGGTCGGTAGAGCATGTAACTAACTCTTAGTGTCAGAGTTGTGAGTTCAAGCCCCATGTTGGGCATGGAGCCTACTTAAAAAAAAAAACCCAACAAGTGTATTATATATATATACAAAATATGTGTTAATTGTTCACATTCGAAGTAAGGCATCTAGTCACCAGTAGGCTATCAGTGGTTGGGGTTTTTTGAGGAGTCAAAAGTTACATGTGGATTTTTAGCTGTGCAGGGGTCAGCATCCCCAACCCCCATATTGTTCATGGGCCAACTGCATAATTTAACTATATCATAAGAAAAAACTTTCTGTTTAATGCAGTACAGATGTGGTTACTTTACCGAGTTTTATGTGATAAAGATGTTCTTCCAGTTAACTGTGACTTTATAGATTTGTATTCAGTGTATAGTAGTAGTATCGTGACCTGAAACAACATCCAGCATGAATAAATTTTTGAGTCATGTTTGCTTTAGCATATCAAGATTACTCACGTGCCAAAACACCATGTAATCTGTACATCTACATAAAGTCATTTTTTTTTCAAAAAGAACATGGAATGGGCCTTGAACAAGCCTTTTTTCAAATCAAGAATGTACCTAAGATGTTATTTTTATAAATAATTACCAAAGAATTTCTATGTACATGATACCACAATTATTTAAAGTCCTTCTTATTAGAATTTTGAATCTTCAAAAGAGTTCTTGTAAATGATTTAATATAAAAAGAAACAAACTATTGATATGTTTAACAACATAGATGAATCTAAAAATAATTATGCTGAGTGAAAGAAGCCACACACAAAATACTACATACTGGATGGTTCCATTTTCATAAAGATCTAGAAAATGCAAACTAATCTATAGTGACAAGTAGAATGACCAGTGGTTGCCTGGGGATGAGGAAGGCAAGGCGCAGTGAGAGAAGAGGATCGTAAGGGGTGCAAGAAACACTCTTGGTTGTGGTGAGCTTTCATGGGTGTATATGCATATGTTAAACTTCAAATTGGACATTTTAATGTGTGTGATTTCTCACAAGTCAGTTACATCTCCATAAAACTGTTTTTAGAAATACTACAGAGCAAAAAGAAAATGAAATCAAGAATGAGAACATTGGATTAAATCAATAAAAGAGAATTCAAAGCAGAAGCCCTACTATTATCTTTTAGGTCAGCCTCCCAGAAGCAGCTTCATGTGACTTAGTTATTTCTAAAGGTCCCTCCTGAGTTATAAAGAGCAAGGAAGATGGTGTGGCACAGTAGAGGCTGACCTGAGTAGGGATCGACTCTAAGGAAAACCCAGGGAGGACCATGCCATGATTATTTAACCTTTGACTTTTGTTTATATTTTTTAAAAAATATGACCCAAGTATTTTACTTTTTCTATATAAAGTACTCACTGGATTTTTTTAAGATCTGAAGACTTAGGTCCCAGAAGTCCCTTTGTATTGGTTTGCATGTAAACTTACATCGTTATTTTGAGAGGTTTTAAAAATTTTAGTTCTTTAAAATTGAACTTTCAGAGCACCTGGGTGGCTCAACCGATAACAGTGTTCCACTCTTGGTTTTGGCTCAGGTCTGTATCCTGGTTTGTGAGATTGAGCCTCCTGAGCAAAGAGCTGACTTGAGGATTCTCTCTCCCGCTACCCCCTTCCCCCACTCACACACACAAACACACACTCTCTCTCAAATAAATAAATCAAAATTAAAAATAAGGGGAGGAGCAAGGTGGCTCAGTCGGTTAAATGTCTGCCTTCGGCTCAGGTCATGAGCCCAAGTTCTGGGATCCGGTCCAGCCCTGTGTTAGATGCCTTGCTCAGCAAGGAGCCCACTTCTCCCTCTCTTCCTTGCTCGTGCTTTCTGTCTCTCTCTCATAAGTAAGTAAAATCTTTAAAAAGTTTAAAAATTTAAATAAAAATAAGTAAAATTGAATTTTCACATTTTAAATTATCTTTGACAAATACAAGAAATGTCAAATTTTGACTTATCTTTGGCTCTATATTTTTGTTTATGGTTACATTTTTCATTATGTATTGTGTATGAGGTCCTTGTATTATGAAAAATATGATTGGAAAAGGTTTTTTTCTGTGTATTGTTTTTAATTCCAGTATAGTTAGCATACAGTGTTTATATTAGTTTCAGGTGTACAATATAGTAATTCAATAATTCTGTACATCACTCAGTGCTCATCACAAGTATGCTCTTATCCTCTTCACCTGCTTCACCCATCTACCCGTCCCTTCCCCTCTGGTAACCCTCAGTTTGTTCTCTGTAGTTAAGAGTCTGTTGTTTGGTTTGTTTCTTTTTTCTTTGTACCTTTGTTCTGTTTCTTAAATACCACATATGAGTGAAATCATACGTTATTTGTCTTTCTCTGACTTATTTCACTTAGCATTATATTTTCTAGATCCATCCATGTTGCAAATGGCAAGATTTCATTCTTTTTTTAAATAATTATTGAGAGAGAGAGAGAGAGAGAGAGAGAGAGAGAGCATGCACACACACGTGGGGGAGAGGGAGAGAGAATCTCAGACTCTGAGCTGGGTGCAGAGCCCGAGTTGGGGCTTGATCCCATGACCATGAGATCATGACCTGAGCTGAAATCAAGAGTCAGATGTTTAACTGACTGAGCCACTCAGGTGCCCCAAGATGTCATTCCTTTTTGTGGCTAATATTCCTGTGTTTGTGTGTGTGTGTATTTATCTTCTATCTTTATCCATTCATCTGTTGGTGGACACTTGGGCTGCTTCCATAATTTGGCTATTGTAAATAATGCTGCATTAAACATAGAGGGGCATATATCTTTTCAAATTAGTGTTTTAGGATTCTTTGGATAAATACCCAGTAGTGGAATTACTGAATCATAGGGTAGTTCTATTTTTAATTTTTTGAGGGACCTCCATACTGTTTTCCATAGGGGCTGTACCAGTTTACATTCCCAGCAGTGTGCAAGGGTTCCTCTTTTGCCACATCCTTCTTAGCCCTTGTTTCTTTTGTTTTTGATTTTAGCCATTCTGACAAGTGATATCTCACGGTAGTTTGGATATGCATTTCTGTGATGATGAGCATATTTTACCTGTCTGTTTGCCATCTGTATGTTGTCTTTGGAGAAATGGATGACTGGAAAAGCATTCTCTGCCAAAATCAAGGAAGAATAGTCAGTTATAATGCTGATGGGAACTTTTCAAACTTCCTTATCTTGTGGGTTAAATTAGGGGTCTTATGAAGTAGTGACTAAATGATTTTAATTACATGTGATAGTGGCTTAGTGACTTAGTGATGTTTATAAAATCAATTGGCAATTATAGAAGTTCTCTTCCTGGAATGTCCAGTTCTCTCACAATTGAAATCTTTTAAAATTTTATTTATTTATTTTAGAGAGAGAGAGTATGAGCACGCAAGCAGGGGGAGGGGCAGATGGAGAGGATTCTTGAGCAGACTCTGCACTGAGTGTAGAGCCTGACACAAAGCTCGTTCCCATGTTCCTGAGATCATGACCTGAGCTGAAATCAAGAGTCAAATGCTTAACTGACTGAGCCACCGAGGCAACCCTGAAATCTTTTAACCAAAATTATCAGCAGTGGGAAAACTTTGTGTAGCTTCATTTTTCTTCAGTATACTGTGATTAGGATTTTTTGTTGGGCTGATACTTTGAAAAAAGATTTAATTATAACCTATCAAAGATACTTTAAAGTATTATCAGTATCTATGCTCTTTTTCGGGGTGGGAGATTTAAAATTTATGACTTAAAGCAAAATTTTATTTTTGAAAAAGCATTTTAAAACATTTAATACTGATAAATCTGCAACATTTATTTCAGTTCTTAAAAATCACATTATTTAATGCTTTTAAAAAAATCTAAATTTGACAGATTTTTGCTGTTTAGTCTTAATAAATTTAGGTGGGTTATATTCTTAACATGTTAAAACTTCCTCATTACTTACAATGTACATTAACTTAAATATTTATGATTTCTTTTCAGTGGTTCAACTTGAATTCTCTCTTGACGGGTCCAGAATTAATATCAGACACATACCTTGCACTTTTCCTAGCTCAATTACAACAGGAAGGTAAATAAAGACTGAAATTTTTATAATGTTATCTTTCAAGGGAGCTAAATTAACTCTATTGGGTGTAAGTATAATAATAATTGTTTATAGCAGTGAAATCATCTTTATGTTTTACTTGGTGAATGTTAATCTGTGATTTGGAAGACACTGTCCAGGTAGAGTTTTCACTGACTCTTGGCCATCCGCCTGAGGAGTGTGCTTCCTTCACCCCACTAAGTAATGGCTCTTCCAGACCCCATAGATCCCATGACTAAGAGTGGGGGGTGGGGATTCTTCTGGCTTCTTCTTGCCCCTTCCAGGCAACTATTCTTCCCTAAAAACTCCAGCTCCTTTAACATACCTGACACTAGAAAAAAAAATTAAAAACTAAAAGGAAACACCTGACACTAGAATAAACTTTCCCTCTTACTCTTTTGCATTCATCTGTGATCATCCTTTTCCTTGGAAGATTTTGGGGTCTGACTTACTGTTTTCTCTCAACTTAGATTCTCATCATTGTTAGTGATTTCTACATCAAAAATCCATCCAGTTCAGTACCTTGCTTTTTATTTTCAAAGAATATTTTCTTCACTCTTGCCTTGCTATTACCAATAACTATACCATCTTCAAATCCCAGTCACATTTTACTCTTTGACAATTGCCTTCTGTCTTTACACTATATTTTCTCTGTTTTTCCATATCCAACAATTCTTTAAACTCTACCCAGCATTCCTCTTACATCTATACTTCTGTCTAAACCTGCTTATTTCTGTAACCCATCATTATAATCAATCTGATGTATTCCTCGATTTCTTTTTCCTTCCTTTCATCGTACTTCCATGACAAATGCCAGCCCTGGTTAAAGTCAGATCTTGGGTTTGTTCATTTCTGCATCAGAGTAGCAGAACATGGTTACAAAATAACATAAAATAAGATGGCTGATTTTGCTTTAAATATATGATCACAAGTTTCAGAGGATCCTTTAGGGCTGCTTGACATTCCTACTGTGTTTTTGTAGTAAGTTCATTTGCCTCTCTCCAAGGTGCTTATTTCCCAGTGCATCTCTTTAAACCTCTGATCACTCCCCTCTCCCTGACTCCTAGCTTGTGGCTTGTCTTTATATTCTGATAAAACAGAAGCAATGAAAAGAGAACTTGCCCATCTTTCTACCAGCAAATGTGTCAGCTTGCTTCTATGTCAGCCTGTGCATTGAGCCCTAGTAAAGTAGCTAGTAGGTGAATTGTGCCCTGCTCCTGACCCAGACCATCCTGTCTACTCTGGGATGGGATCCCAGCTCCTCTCACTTATTCAATATCTTTGCTTCTGCATTTGTCTACTTTCCTGCATGATCACTTCACTCCCTTTTTCTGTATTGCTTCTATCAGCAGAGATTAAACCCTTTGTTTCTATTGACCAAAAACGAAAAGTCTCTCTTGACTCCAGAGAAGTCCAGCTACCTGCCATTTTTATTTTCTCCTTAGACTCACCTCACCTCTTATTGTCTCCTGTTACTGAACTCATTCCAGTCACAATCATAATGAGCACAATCACTGTCATAATGAGCATTTAACCAAAAAGCCTTCTTCCAAGGTCACCGGTGACCTCCACATTTGTATTTCAATCTCAGTCTTCCTTTTATTGGATCTCATCTACTTAAGGGCATAGTTGATGATCCCCTCATGTGGATGGTACAGAATAAAACTTTTTCATTGAAAATTTCAAATGGAAAGTAGAGAAAATGTGATGAATCCTCATATATCCTTTACCCAGCTTCAACAATTATTTCATGTCCAATCTTGTTACACTTTTTCCTTCCCTGGCTTATTTTGAGCATCTTATTTTTTCTGTGAATTTATTTGAATTAAAGTATTTCAAAGCAAGCACTCTTAAATACATAGCCTCAATGCTACAAGCATACAAAAAATTTAGGCACAATGCTTTAATAACATCAAAGATGCCATCAGTGTTCATATTTCCAATCTCTTTGGTTGTGTATTAGGATTTTTTCACTTTAGTCAGGTTGAAATAATTATTAATTAATGCAATTAATTGCATTGATTGATGTCTTCCAAGTCTACAGATTTCCTCTTTTTTTTTCCCCTTGATTTATTTTTAAATAAATTTTTTATTTAGGATTTTATTTATTTATTCATGAGAGACACACAGAGAGGCAGAGACACAGGCAGAGAGAGAGGCAGGCTCCATGCAGGGAGCGTGATGCGGGACTCAACCCCGAGACCCCAGGACCACACCCTGGGCCAAAGGCAGGCACTAAACCGCTGAGCCATCCAGGGATCCCCCTGTTTTTTTGTTTTTTTTTTTTAAAGAAATGGGTCGTTCTTTCCCATGCTCTGAATTTTGCTGATAACATCTTTATTTTTCTCAGAGCCCTGGATACCCAACAGACTGGCCTTTTAGAATTTGAGACTTGATCAGACTCAGATTAATTTGAGGGCAAGGTGGGGAGATAGTGGAGCACTTCACAGATGGTGTGACACTTGATGTCTGGTTGTCTTTCTGTGATTTGAGCAACTACTGATGTTGAGTTCCTAGATTGATGCAAATTGGTGGTGGTAGATTTTATCATGCATGCCTTCCTGTATTAGCTGGATACTTGTACACAGATAAACTTTGATCAGTGATTTGGTTCTCCTAAAGTATAGTTTTTTTGTTTGTTTTAAAGATTTTATTAATCTATTTTTTTTTTAAATATTTATTTATTTATTTATTCAGAGAGAGCAAAAAAGAGGCAGAGACACAGGCAGAGAGAGAAGCAGGCTCCATGCAGGGAGCCCGACGTGGGACTCGATCCCAGGTCTCCAGGATCACACCCCGGGCTGCAGGTGGCGCTAAACCGCTGCGCCACCGGGGCTGCCCTATTTATTTATTAATGAGACGCACAGAGAGAGGCAGAAACACGGGCAGAGGTAGAAGCATGCTCCCCATTGGGAGCCTGATGCCGGATTTGATCCCAAGATCCTGGGATCATGACCTGAGTCAAAGGCAGATGCTCAACCACTGAACCACCTGGGTGCCCATGAAGTTTAGTTCTTCTGGGAGAAATAGGATAAATGTTTCTCCATTTTATCGCTTTTAAAGATGAGTTGGGTTCATCAGGGTCCTTCCTCCAAAGGTAACCAGTTAGTTTGGGGTTTTTGTATGTTATGGTGAACTAATCCATAAAACATAGTTTGTGTGTTTTGGTCTACTGTCATTATTATTACTATTGATACTAAACTTGTCCCATGTAGACCAAGGAGAGCCTTTTTTTTTTTTTTTTTTTTTTTATGACAGTCACAGAGAGAGAGCGAGAGAGGCAGAGACACAGGCAGAGGGAGAAGCAGGCTCCATGCACCGGGAGCCTGATGTGGGATTCGATCCCAGGTCTCCAGGATCGCGCCCCGGGCCAAAGACAGGCGCCAAACCACTGCGCCACCCAGGGATCCCCAAGGAGAGCCTTTTGAAGTTGACTCCTAAGTTTCCAAAATGACTGCTGTAGCTTTTTGAAGACTTTCTCAAAAGGCAAGGTGTTTCAGGCTTACCTTGTATGTTTCCTGCCCGTTTAATAATAGTGTTTAAAAATAAGTCTGGGTACTCTTGTGCTTACTGCTACTGGGTTTGTTGTCATGTTCTTTCCAATTTACGTTTAGGATTATAGTATATTTACAGTTTTGATTTCATGTACTAGTATGTTTTTTTCTTTCATGCCTAAACCTTGGTTCCTGAGTATACCCTTCCTTCTTGAAATACTGTCCACACTTGGGTTCCAGGCCACTATGCTCTGGTTTTCCTCATATCTTGTTGGCTGCTTCTTTCACATTCCTTTTGTGGGTCTTATTCTCTTGGTAGTCTGTTGTGATGAAGTGACCCAGAGGTCAGTCCTTGGACAATTTCTTGATTATGTGCTGTCCTATTATTTTAAATATCATCTCCAAAAAAAATCAGTATGCCTGTAATTCCCATATTTTATCTTCCGTCTACACATCTATCCTGAACACCAAACTCCTCACATTGACCTCTCCACTTGGGAAGTCCAGAAAGCATTTTAAACTGAACATGTCTGCAAAGGCTGGTTTTTCTTCTCCCAGTATATTCTGTCCGTCAGGTTTTCTGTCTTAGTAAGTAAGGGTCTCTCTTGCATTCCAGTTCCTATATGTTACATTGATAAAGAAGCTCAGAGTACTTTTTAAACAATGGAATGCATGTTACAGCACTCCTCTCTCTTCATCCTTCAGTCTCTTAACAGCATACTTAGAGTGAAAGCTAACCCCTTGAAGTATTTACTATGCCACCTGAACAAGACAAGTTTCTTTCTTTTTTTTTTAAAGATCTATTTATTTATTTATTTATTTATTCATTCATTCATTCATTCATTCATTCATGATAGACATAGAGAGAGAAGAGAGGCTGAGACACAGGCAGAGGGAGAAACAGGCTCCATGCAGGGAACCCGATGCGGGATTCGATCCTGGGACTCCAGGATCGCGCCCTGGGCCAAAGGCAGGCGCTAAACTGCTGAGCCACCCAGGGGTCCCCTGAACAAGACAGTTTCTGATACTCCTGATGCTCTTCATGGAATGCCATGGTGCAGACATGTTTACTTTAAGATCTGGAAACAGTTTTACTGCCATAAAACATGCTAGACCATCTAAACTCTGAACACATTTGTCCTTATTTTAAAAAAGTACATTAGTCATATTATGTCCATGTTCAAAAAATAAAGGTTAATGTACTGTTTTGAATTTTTCAATTAACAGTTGTTTTGATCTTTGTTCATTTGTTTTGTTATCTTTTAATGCTCACAAAGGATATCCAGTAATAAGTACCAGAGTTTAAGAAAAACTTATGGTAGATAAGCTTAAATTGATTAGAATGACTTAGGTATAGTCCACCCGTGTTCAGTTTTTGTGTGGAGTATTTAGCTGTGAAAACTCTAGCTTTCTAGAATCATATTTATAAAAAATTACACTGAATCAGTGTAATTCTTTGAAAATATGAACCACATCATCAACACCTTGACTAGATTCTCAGCGTTGGATTTCCAGCTCCTGTTTTCCGTGAGAGGAGTGTGGATGTGTCAGGGTTGTGGGGGCAGCTATTTCTACAGATGATTGGTTTAACCCATATTTCACATTATTACACACATTATATAATTATGTCCTCATGACAGTCCTCTGAGGGAGGTACCGTATCATCAGCATCAGACAATACTCAGTCTTGGAATTGGAAGAGGTAGGATCAAAGCCCTGGCCATCTGATTCCAAATTCCTTGCTCTTCTCCACTCTGTTACTCACCTCTCTATTACATTTAGTGATTAGTCTACTTGGTCATGCACTGTTTTGGTAGGGCCCTTTGCAGACATTATTTCATTCACAGTCACACTGTGACTGGCTCTTCCCATCTTACAGATGGAAAAAGTGGGGCTTAGAGACTTTCAATAGTTTATCTTGGATCACCCTGCCAGTAAGTGAAAGAACCATTACCTGAACCCAGCTCTTTCTCACTCTTCAGCTTGTATTCTTTCCACTATACTGTGTTGCCTTTCTATCTGTTATCATTTTAAATCTATTTTTAATCTCTTACTAGCTGTTTTAGTTTATTTTTGCCTCTTTTTTAGGTTATTCTATATTTGTTGTTAAGGGTGATCTGCCAGATTGTGAAGCTGACCAACTTCTACAGATGATCAGGGTCCAACAGATGCAGAGACCAAAACTTATTGGAGAAGAATTAGCACAACTAAAAGAACAGAGGTAAAATAAAGCCTGCAGCATGGAGTATATGATAGTATTTCTTTACAAGAATTATATTTTATATTTCTATTCTTTTTTTTTTTTTTTAAGATTTTGTTAAGTAATCTCTACATCCAACATGGGGCTTGAACTCAGAACTATGAGAACAAGAGTTTCATGCTCTACTGACTGAGCCAGCTAAGTGCCCCAGGAATTATATTTTCATGCTTATATTGGATAGATATACACAAAGTACATTGGTCCTTTTATGGTTGGTGATTTTTTTTTCTTCTTTAGACCTCCTATATTTTTAGTGAAGTTTTCTGGTTTAAACTTGACTCTTTGAATTACTTAATTAGCTTATATGCACATCACAGCACAATTTTTATGCTATTAGATTATCAGAAAATGTTTAATTTTTAACATATAAAATCTTGGTGGGGGGCTGGCTGGCTCAGTTGGTGAAGCATGTGACTCTTTTTTTTTAATAATAAATTTATTTTTTATTGGTGTTCAATTTGCCAGCATACAGAATAACACCCAGTGCTCATCCCGTCAAGTGCCCCCCTCAGTGCCCGTCACCCATTCACCCCCACCCCCCGCCCTCCTCCCCTTCCACCACCCCTAGTTCGTTTCCCAGAGTTAGGAGTCTTCATGTTCTGTCTCCCTTTCTGATATTTCATACCCATTTCTTCTCCCTTCCCTTCTATTCCCTTTCACTATTATTTATATTCCCCAAATGAATGAGAACATATAATGTTTGTCCTTCTCCGATTGACTTATTTCACTCAGCATAATACCCTCCAGCATGTGACTCTTGAACTTGTGGTTGTAAGTTCGAGCACCATGTTGGGTGTAGAGATTACTTAAAAATAAAATCTTAAAAATTATCTTAAAAATCTTTTCACTTATAAATGTCTGTGTTTTATCTAAAATAGAAGACTGGAAAAAATAAAATAGAAAAATGGTCTGCAGTTACTCTCTGGTTTTGTTCTTTAGAGTCCAGAAAACAGATCTGGAACGAGTCTTAGAAGCAAACGATGGATCAGGCATGTTAGATGAAGATGAAGAAGATTTGCAGAGGGCTCTGGCACTAAGTCGCCAAGAAATTGACATGGAAGATGAAGAAGCAGATCTCCGCAGGGCTATTCAGCTCAGTATGCAAGGTATCTGCATGTGGATGTGTTGTTGAAGAATTGATTCAGATTATTCTTAGTTACCCTGGAAGTTAATATATTGTTAATAAAGATTCTTTGAAAATTACTGCAGAAGCAATAACTATGTACATATGATCAGGTAGGTATTTTAGCTTTCTTACAAATAACTTTTTACAACCTAAGTTATATTAGGACTAGTTAAATTTTTTAAAGATTTTTTTATTTAAGAGAGGGAGCCACAGAGAGAGCACAAGTTGGGGGGAAGAGCAGAAGAAGAGGGAGAAGCAGACTCTGAGCAGGGAGTGAGACATTGGGCTCCATCCTGGGACTCCAGGATCATGTCCTAAGCCAAAGGCAGACAGACGTTTAACCAACTGAGCCACCCAGTTGCCCCTGACTACTTATATTTTTATTCTGGTTTTTCTGTTTGGTTATAATAGTATACTAACAACAATAAATGGAGCTTAATCTTTAGAGAAGAATCTTTTAAAGAAGGGGAGGCTCTTTCCCAGACCAGCTATTTTGTAAATGTATGCTGTTGGATACAAAGGAAGGCCTGGGTAGAAAATATTTTAAAAGTCTACCACTTGGTGTACAACATAACAACTTAAGTCCACTTCGATGGGCCCACCTTGATAGTGACAGAAGCCCACCAGCAGAAGAGAATAAAGATGTATCCCCTAGATGGGCAGCCCTGGTGGCTCAGCAGTTTAGTGCCGCCTTCAGCCCAGGGCCTGATCCTGGAGACCCGGGATCAAGTCCCAATGTCAGGCTCACTGCATGGAGCCTGCTTCTCCCTCTGCCTGTGTCTCTGCCCCCCCCCCCCCCCCTCTCTCTCTCTCTCGGGAATAAATAAATAAAATATGAAAAGAAAAAAAAAAGATGTATCACCTAGGGAATCCAGGCAGAGGGACTTGTCCAGAACGTAGCCTCAGAGAGGCCTCTGAAAGGTATGGGTGATTTTCTTTGGCAGTTTTGTTTTCATCTAATTAACGTGAATTTCCCTTTTACTTAATGAGATTACTCAGTGGAATTTCTCAAATATCTAAGTAAAATTGAGGTTCCATTAATATAAAGGTTATCGTTTTTATCCTGAATTCTCTTGCTTCCTGGCATACCTTGGAGTGCTTCATATATGCAATCCCATTTTTAATTCATAGAGCTCTGCTGGACTAGCCCAACAATGAACAGAACAGCTATTTAAATTTTAAATATTTTCATGTCCTTCGTTTATCTTCCTGCTTTATTACATGATCGATGCAGGATCTCTGATTGGTGCAGTTATTTAGTGAGAACACACTTAAGTTGGTGTGGCATGCAAGTATTTTAGGATAGAGGAATACACAGAATGGGTTTACTGTTACCCACTTTATTTTTTTTTTAATTTTTATTTATTTATGATAGTCACAGAGAGAGAGAGAGAGAGGCAGAGACACAGGCAGAGGGAGAAGCAGGCTCCATGCACCGGGAGCCCGACGTGGGATTCGATCCCGGGTCTCCAGGATCACGCCCTGGGCCAAAGGCAGGCGCCAAACTGCTGCGCCACCCAGCGATCCCTGTTACCCACTTTAAATTGCTTTTAGTTGAAAGTACCAATTCATTGCTAGCAGGTTAAAGAGGGCATGCAAGCGTGGTGTTAATGGCTCTTCCTACCTGGTTCGTTGTTGGACTTATATCCTCACACCTGCTATATCACAGATGGATGTGGACACAGGTTATATTTGAACTGCCTTATTCAGATTTGTCCTTGAGAGTTTCAGAGCCTGCCTTATATTTATAGAATAGTAGCACAATATTTTTAAGAAGAAAACTTTTCAAAAACTTGCCCAAATAAATATAAACATAGTGTTGCTCAAATTGGTAAGTAAAATGATTGTTTTTTTGTTCTGTTTTCTTTTGTTTTCAGGGAGTTCCAGAAGTATATCTCAAGATACTCCACAGACATCAGGTATACATCTTACTTCAGAAGAGCTACGGAAGAGAAGAGAAGCCTACTTTGAAAAGTAAAGTAGTTAGTACAATATTAAAATTGCGTATTTAATGTGTACTTTGTTTTGTCTACAGTTTATACACACAGAGCTTTGGCTTAAACTATTTTATTTAGGATTCTCTCCTTTTAAAAGATTGTTACCAACTGAACCATGAACATCTGTGTGTATTTTTTTTTTTAATTTACAGCAAATAAACTGATATCATATGTAGTTTTAGGGAAAACTTTTGCCTCGATATCAGTTAAGTTTATCTCACATAAAATGAAGGAAACCCAGTAAACTTTCAGTCATTAAAAGAAAATGGGATTGGACCAAAACAAGAACAATGCCATAAGATCCTCTGGATGTGCTTCTTGGTTACCTGACCAATTCTGCAGAGTTCTTTTATCAATTAACAGGAAAAGCAGCATTGTGGTCAGGGAGCACACTCTCAGATAGAGGTGGTAGGTAATTGTTCTTATTGCCACTCTAGGGTTTATATGCAGGCCTGTTGGCATAGGGATATGGGAGCAAACCATAAACTTGAATCATCAGCTCCTACAGCCCAACTCTGTAAGTGTTCTCAAATTAGAAAACAAAAATGTCATCTTTTCCAGTGACTACCATTCACAAATTGTCTGCCCTTTTTATTTTTTTAAGGATAAAACTTATCTTAAAGGCTACACAGTAGTCTTTAGATATTCATATTCTCTGATCCCAGGTCAGAAACCAAAAGGCTGGTGGCTGAATCTGGCCTGTTCACTACGTTTCATCAGTTCTGAGATGTACATATTTTCACATTTCAACATCTCTGCAATTGAGTAGCATCTTACAATAATAATTGGCAGTATTAGTGGGATCTAAAATATTGGAGCATTTTACATTTAATGATGTAATGAAGATAATATTTACCTTGTTTTCTGTTTTTTTTTTTTTAAGTCACAACTCAGAAGTATATGAAGGAAAGTTCTGATCAGCTGACATCCTCTTAATGTGAGATATTTCTAGTCTTTATTCAGTGATCGATGGATTTAATTATATATAGAATTTCAAAATAGTGTTTATTAGTGCTTTCAAATTTTTAACTCCCTTTCAAATTTTTAATTTTTCTAGTTTTTTAATTATGATAAACTTCAAATATCCATAAAAGTAAAGAAACCAGGATAAGGAACCCCTGTTTACCCATTGCCCAGATTTAGCAAATATCGGCACATGGCCAGTCGTGGTTTTCTATGCCCTCATCTCTCCTACTTTCTCCTCTCTCCCCCCCAAGCTGCGATTATTTTATGACAAATCTAAAGCATTATATCCTTTAATCCATTCTTTTGTAATATAGCCAGATGTTACTGTCACACTGTAATGTTAATAATTATCACATGATAATTATGTGATAATTTTTATATCTCAAATATATCAAATATTGTATATCTCATTCTCTCAAATAAAATATATATATTTTAAAGATTCCACGTATTTACTTGAGAGAAAGAGGGAGAGATCATGCACGCACGCATGTGCACACAAGCAGGGGCAGGGGCAGAGGGAGAAGCAGACTCCCTGCTGAGCAGGGAGCTCCATGTGGACTCCATCCCAGGACCCTGGGATCATGACCTGAGCTGAAGGCAGACAGTTAACTGACTGAGCCACCCAAGTGCCCCAAATAAAATCTTTAAAAATAAATAAATAAATTTTTTTAGATTTTTTTTTTAAATGTGAAACTCTATTACATTTAATCTTTATAGTAGAAAGAATTTAAAATGAGCATTAGTGTAGCTCCTTCCAGGTTGGAGGATAGTTGACTGGAGAGGAAGGTGTGCAGTGATGGTTTCCAGCTTCAGTTTCATCCTCTGCCTCTTGGTTTGACCTTGAAACTACTTGTGGGAACTTGAGGAAAACTAGAGAATATTTGATAATCACATGTTACTGAGAAGAGTTAAGAGCTAACTTCTTGGTGTTTCTTTTAGGCATTATCTAGCATTCAGAATCTTGTAGGGCTCATTAGTAAAGGAGCTGAGAAACAATAGTAGTTTCAAATATTAGTTCTTTCACCAGAATTCCTGATTACTAAGCCTACAAGGTCCTTCTCTCTCTAGCTTCCATCTTTGGGAAATTAGTTCTAAGGTTATCTAGCCACTCTTTGTTCCTTCTGACCCTCTCCAAACTGACCCTGGTGCTATTGTTATTTAAACAAATTTTGAATTCAAAATAAGGCTTTTTTCCATTCAAATAATTTATTATTCATTCAAATAGTTTTTTTTTTCCTGTAGAGTATTTGAAGCTTCATACCTAACGTAGAAACCACAGTATTCATGCATCAAGCATAAAAATACTGTTTAAAAACGTACCTATTACAAAGTCCTAGTTAATGGGGGCGCCTGGGTGGCTCAGTCAGTTAAGCATCCAATTCTTGATTTCGGCCCCGGTCATGATCTCAGGGTTGTGAGATAGCCCCACATCAGATCAGGCTCCCTGCTCAGCAGGAAGTCTGTTTCTCTCAACAACCCCTCCCAACCCCCTCACCCTTTTCCCAACTTGTGCATGTGCATGCTCTCTCTAAAATCTTAAAACAACAACAACAAAATCCCAAGAAAGTCATAATTAATGAGTGTTAAGTTCACAGCTGAGATGAGTTTTTTCAAGAAGTAATCTTGAAATCTATTTTATCTATTATAAAACCCCAAATGAGAACTCTTATTATGTTAGCAATGTTACCATAAAATTTAGCTTAAAAACTCACAGACTGAGCATCAAATTAGGCAATGTGTGTAAAACTACAATGTGTAGTGTAAAACTACACAAACTAAATTTACAATGTGTGTAAATTGTAAGGTATTCCACAAATGTCTTAGCGTATTTAATATCTTTTCCAGGTGTAGCTTTGAAATGATGGAGATTCTTTCTTTCTGTTACTAAAAAAGTGTTTTCCAACAAAGAGAGAATTACTGGGCATTGTCTTCATGGTCACGGATTGCTATGATTTTTTTTTATCATCTAACTCTTGAGCCACCACTTCAATGGCATGGCATAACAGGATTCAGTTTAAGAAACAAGCTACTAGGGGTGCCTGGGTGGCTCAGTCAGTTAAGTGTCTGCCTTTGGCTCAGGTCTTGGTCCCGAGGTCCTGTGATGGAGTCCGGCACCGGGCTCCCTGCTTAGCTGGGAGCCTGCTTCTGCCTCTGCCCCTCCCTGCTATATGCTCTCTCTCTCTCTCTCTCAAATAAATAAATGAAATCTTAAAAAAAAAAAAAAGCTACCAGAGGTATTTTAAACAGGAAAATAATTAGTACAGAAACTTGGCTTACACAATTCTAAGAAGAGCTGGAGGTGCAGGCTATAGGCCGGGTCTCAAATTCCATAGACCAACTTGTTGGAAGAGCTGTGCCACTTCCCCCATTGGCATCATGGGGAATCGGGACATGGAGTTTAAGAAGATGCTGCTATAGCTCTGATCCTAGATCAGGAAACTGCCATTACAGTTGCCTGGATGTGGGAACGGGAGGCCCAGTCCCCGCTGCAGCTGCTGTGAAGCAGAATCCTGGGCTTGGCAGCTTCCCAACCTGACTTGTGTGCAGAGAGCAACCAGGGTAGCAGGAGGACGGCCGTGCCTGCTTTCTGCGGAGTGCTTAATTGATAACCATAATCCTAGCTATACAGTGACCTAAGATGTTGTTTTAGCTCTCTAGCCTCTCTGATTCTGAGGGCACAGTCAAAGCTGCAGTGGGAATGGGTGCTGATTTGCTGTTTGAATATGTTGCATCTTATGGTGTCATCCAAGATGAAAGGTGTCAGAATTGTTTCAAGGTTGGCAGTTCATCTACTTCTCACTTTTAATAAATTTAAAGTAGAATAAAGGTTATCCCTCTCAGTCACTGTCTCATCTACTACTCTTACATTCTGACCTATTACCTTGATCGGAGGGGGAAAGGGCATGCATGGAGAGAGATCTGATGGGCCAGGATCCCTCTTGCTTCACAGCCTGTCCTTCCTATGCACACCTCAGAATCGGTGTATGCTGGCGGGAGCATCCTGCCCTCTTGTGCATCATTAGCCACACACACCCGAGAATAAACTGAGACAAACATCAGTGTACTTGGGTTTTCTTTGTTACTCACATTTAAAACAGAAGAGTCTCTAGGGGAAAAAAAAAAGTATGCTATTCTATTAATAGCATTACTGGTAAATTTAAAATACTAATTCCTTTAAAAGTCCTATGCATTTTTTTTTAAAGCTATGGCTTCTCAGAGTGTCAGCTGTTTGTAAATTTTGTTTAATTTTCAACATATATGTGGTATGATGTGAAATAATTTTAAATTTATGTAAAAGCAGAAATAGTTTACAGAACTCCCTATATACCCTTTGCCCAAATTCCTCAATTGTTGACATTTCTGAGGGATATGAGAATAACTTGCAGACATGATCTCCCATTACATCTCAATATTTCAGTGTGTATTTAAGTACAAGGACACTGTCCTACATATTTACATCATAATCATCATGTTTAAAAGTTTAAAATGTGAATTTTTCTGACATTGTTTTTCCATCCTAAAGAAATACAGGGAAGATTTATTTTAATTCAAAAAACGGTACTGAACCTTGACCATACATCTTAAAAAGTTACATTCTTTCATTCATGAAGTATTTGGCGAATGCCTACTATGGACAGGCACTGTCTTAGGCATTTCAGAAACAAGGTTTGTGCTCTTGTTAGCTGACACTCAAAAGAGGGAGACCCAGAATATCTGATGGTATAAGTTGATGCTGGAAATTGAAAAGGAGCAGCAATGAGATAGTGAGCATATGCCTGGAAGCTGCTGCAGGTGGTTGGTCAAGAAAGGTCTCTCCTAGGACTTGCTGAAGCTCAGAGCTGAACGACAAGGAGAAGCTGGCCATGGGAAAGATCATGTAACCTCGCATGGTAATTGGGATGCTTTATATTTTCAAAGGTGCTTATTTTTAGTGACTTCCGACAGTATTAAGGATCTGTAAATGCAACACATTTGTATAAGAGTAGCTACCCGTGAATGCTTTTGTTTATGTGTTATTTTGTGGTGAAAATCTTTACCTATTAATTTGTTTAATAATTTAGATTTTATATCTAGGTTTCCTAGGATCAGCACTGTGATACTTGTAAGTAATATAAATCAGACTGATTGCTCTGGCATTGTTTTGTGGACTTATGACAATGACTCTTATTTTGTGGGACCTTTTATTTTCCATGTGAATACTTCTTCTTGTGGCATATGTATTCTTAGGGTTTGTTGTTTTTTTAATGTACATTCACTTTTGAATGTTTCAGGCGGCAGCAGCAACAACAGCAGCAGCAGCAGCAACAGGATCCACTAGGACAGCTCTCACATCTGTGTGAGAGGCCCACCACAAGTTCAGAAGCACTGGGCAGTGATCCAGGTATGCCTCTCTGACCATGCTCTGACACAGGCTCTGTGTGATTAGGGCTTCACAGGGTTTTTTCTCCCCTATTTAATTACGCTGAAACTGTTGTATGAATTTTTTTTTAAGATTTTATTTATTCATGAGAGACAGAGGGAGAGAGAAAGACAGAGACAGAGAGAGAGGCAGAGACACAGGCAGAGGGAGAAGCAGGCCCCATGCAGGGAGCCCGATGTGGACTCGATCCTGGGTCTCCAGGATCATGCCCCGGGCTGAAGGCGGTGCTAAACCCCTGAGCCACCCGGGCTGCCCTGCTGTATGAATTTGTAATCTACTCAATTTCCTTAGACTAAGAAGCAGGCAGACTAGAGCACTCAGTGCATGTGTTGCTTTAAAATTATAGACAACACTTGCAACTTCAAAGTAATCAATAAATTCTTCAAAACTTTCTCAGAGATAATGCATATTAATAGGTGGAAGATGAATACATTTTACCACCTGGAAAACTAGAGCACCCATGTGTAGCCTAAATAATAGGAAATCTAAAATTATTTATCAGGCCTTGGTTTAATAGGTCTTAAACTTTGGCCAATTATTGGCAATACAAGTTGAGTAACAAAACAACTGTATATGACAAAGGCCTTATAAGCAGACCATGTAAAGAACTCTCAAAACTGAAATAAGAAAACTCTAATGGGGTGAAGGATTTGAACAGATACTTCATCAAACATGTGGTGGATGAAAATGTGATCAATATTAATAATCAGGGAAATGCAAATTAAAACCACAATGAGATACCATTACACACCTTATTATAAGAATGGCTTAATAAAAAAAAACTGACAGTACCAAATGCTGGCTAAGATCAAAGCAACTAGACACCCATACGTTGTTAATAGGAATATAAAATGGTACAGCAACTTGGAAAACAGTTTAGTATTTTCTTATAAACCTAAATGTACACTTCACCATGTGATTTAGTGACCCCACTCCTAGGTGTGTAACAAAGAAAAAAAAAAACGTGAGTTCACAGAAAAATATGTATGTAAATGCTTATAGCAGCTTCATTTATAATTGTCAAAAACTAGAAACTACCCAACTGTTGTCCTTCGGTGGATGGATGCACAAACTGTGGTGCTTAAAAGCAATGGACTACTATTTAACAATAAGAATAAACCGGTGCTGTTTCCTATTGTTCCTGCTGTTTTTAGCTAATAACTCTGGACATTTATATCAAACAAACATAAGAAAAATCTGAAAGGTGGGGCACCTGGGTGGTTCAGTCACATAAGTATCTGCCTTCAGCTCAGGTCATGATCCCGGGGTCCTGGGATAGAGCCTGGCATGGGCGGGGAGGCGGGGGGTGTCCCTGCTCAGCAGGGAGTCTGCTTCTCCTCTGTCTGCTGCTCCCCCTGCTTGTGCTCTCTCACTCTTTCTGTCAAATAAATAAAATCTTTTAAAAAAAATCTGAAAGGTAGAAGACAGACTTTGTAGGAAGCTCAGGACCAGAGGACTGACATAATGTGTAGCCTGGATTTTCTTTTTTGCCTCACATATCTTAGACTTGGTGCTGAAGAAGCCACAGCAGAGACAAAGTAAAGCCTGCTCTATGTCGTCAAAAGGAACTACCTAGCAACTAAAAACTTCTAGATAATAAATATCCTGTTCTATCCAAGCAGAATGATTAGGTAAATAAACTGGCCTTTATGTCACCCCCTCCATTGGCACAGGCCAAGTCGGAGTGTAGCCTGGTATCCCACCTGGCAGGAATGAGGTGTACCTCCTGCTTCCCCAGCCAGCAAGATGTCAAAGAAAGCCAAGTGGGGAGCTGAGATTTTCATTCCCTCCAGGAGGGAGGGCCCTTTCCCATAGTGTCTGTAGTCATAAGGAGCCTAGACTTCCACCCAGCACTGTATTATGAAGGCATCCCTCTAGCTTCCTACCTGAGTGGTTTGAAAAGAGGCCCACTGGAGAATCAGGAATTACTGATTTGAGGCTGTAACAAGGCCACAGCCAGAGTGTCAGTAAGAGGCAGTAAGGAGGCATTCCTACCCCTTGCAGGCAGGGAGATGTCAGTGGAGGACAGTGGAGACCCTGAACTCCCACGTGTGCCCAGCAGTAATGATCATACACTCTCCCCTTCTCCTGGCCACAGCAGGGCAGCACCCCTTTCCCCTACTGGTGCTGTTTTAAAAGAGGCTTACTGGGTGATCCCTGGGTGGCGCAGCGGTTTGGCGCCTGCCTTTGGCCCAGGGCGCGATCCTGGAGACCCGGGATCGAATCCCACGTCGGGCTCCCGGTGCATGGAGCCTGCTTCTCCGTCTGCCTGTGTTTCTGCCTCTCTCTCTCTCTGTGTGTGTGTGACTATCATAAATAAATAAATAAATAAACAAATAAGTAAGTAAATAAATAAATAAATAAAATAAAAGAGGCTTACTAACAGAGAAGATTAAGTAGGACTTACAGTCTTATAACATGCAACACTGCAGATGTTCAGGACTTGATCAGAAGCATTCTACTAAAAGCCAGGAAAAATTCAAATTGATTGAGAAAAGACAGTTCATAGGTTACCATCACCAAATGACACTGATGTCAGCATTAATCTCATGAGGATTTTTCTTTTTATTATTATTATTATTTTTTAATTATTTTTTATTGGTGTTCAATTTGCCAACATACAGAATAACACCCAGTGCTCATCCCGTCAAGTGCCCCCCTCAGTGCCCACCACCCAGTCACCCCCACCCCCCGCCCTCCTCCCCTTTATGAGTTAGGAGTCTTTATGTTCTGTCTCCCCTCATGAGGATTTTTAAAGTAGCCATCATGGAAATGCTACAATGAGCAATTAGAAACATGCTAAAAACAAATGAAAAAATAGAAAGCTTCAAGAAAGAAATAGAAGATAAAAGAACTAAGTGGTAATTTTAGAAGTGAAAAATAACAATACCTAAAATTTGAAAATGCAGTGGATGGGTCCAACTGGTGAATGGAAGGACAGAGAAGAGAATCTGTGAACTTTAAGACAGTACAATGGAAATTATCCATTCTGAGCAACAGAGAGAATTAGACTGGAAAAAATTAACCAAGTCTTGACACCTGTGGGACCATAGTAGAAGATCAAATGTGCCATGGAAATCCCAATAGATGAGAAGGAGGGTGGGGCTGAAAAAATATCTGAAGATAAAATGGCTGAAAATCCCCAGCTTTGACAAAAGATCTAAAACTACAGGGCAGCCTGGGTGGCTCAGACGTTTAGTGCCAACTTTGGCTCAGGGCGAGATCCTGGAGAACGGGGATCGAGTCCCACGTTGGCCTCCCTGCATGGAGCCTGCTTCCCCCTCTGCCTGTGTCTCTACCTCTCTCTCTCTCTCTCTCTCTCTCTCTCTCTCTCTCTCTGTGTGTGTGTGTGTTTCTCATGAATAAATAAAAAATCTTTAAAAAAATCTAAAACTACAGAATTGGGGCACCTGAGCACATGAGTATGAGCAAACAATAGATATCCCTCTCCTTTTGAGTTTTCTAAATTACATTTGATGATTGAAGCAAGAATTAGAATACTGATTTAGTTTTTAGTATATATGTAGAAAGTAAGGCAATTACATTATAAATTAGAGGGACATAAAGGGAGGTGAATTTTCTACTTTTCATTTTGACTGTTAGAGCCACTGTGGGAAATCATTTGTCAGTTTCTTTAAAAACTGAACCAGTACTAAGCATACAACCCAGCAGTTACACTCCTGGACATTTACCCCAGAGAAATGAAAACTTACCTGTCTATGCAAAAACCTGGACACAAATGTTCAGAGCAGCTTTCTTTCTCATAATCAAAACCTGGAAACAACCAAATGTCCTACAGGAAAGTAAACAGTTAAACAGTAGTATGTCTGTGGAATATTACTCAGGACTAGGGAAACCCCAGCTATTGATACATGCAATTCCACTGAGTCTCAAAGACATTATGCTGAGTGCAGGAAAGATATGTAACATTTTTCTAAAAATGACAAATTTGTAGAGATGGAGAACAAATTAGTGGCTGCCTGCAGTTAAGGAAGGTGGGGGCAGAGAAGTGGGTATGAATCAAAAGGGACAACAGGAGAGAGACCTTTGTGGATCTTGACCAGCTCTCTGTCCTGATTGTGGTGCTGGTGGTTATATGAATCTGCACATGTGATGAAATAGCCTAAAACTACACCCAACTTTGTACCAGTGTCAGTATCCAAGTTTTGGTTTCAGCTGCAGTTTCCTAGGATTTAACTTTTGGGTGAAATTGAGCTGAAGTGTAGACAGTTCAGTAAACTGTCTTTGCAACTTGCTACAAATTATTTCAAAACAAAATTTAACTAACAAATTACAAATATATACACAACTAAGTTAAGTCTTTGAGCCTAAAGCACTGGTTTTGAAATCTAGGATAAATGTTTGTGGGGGACTGACCACAAGGGGGCAGCATGTGTGAATCATTGAGAGCAGGGCACAGCTCTGTGTCTGGGTGGTGGTGATGGTTGTACAGTGCCATGTGTTTGTCGAGACTTCTAAAACTGTCAGAGTGCATGTTTATGTAGATATTAAAAATCAAAAAAGGAATCTATAGTAATCAAACAGATATATTTTCTAAGAGCTTACCTTTTGATGACTGAGAGTTTTCCAAAAAATAGCTAAGAGATATGCTTGTTTTTTTTTTCCCCCCAACAGGAGATGTTATGAGTGAAGAAGACATGCTTCAGGCAGCCGTGACCATGTCTTTAGAAACTGTTAGAAATAATTTCAAAACAGAAGGGAAAAATTAATACCTTTTACAAATCATTTAGATGTTCTTACTTTCCAACATTATTATCTGTGTGGTTATAGCACAGAGGGTCCATTTTAGTCATGTGTCAAACAATGTTCAACAGAGGAGATTAGACTTTTAGGTGGTTTGCAACAAAAAGAGTGGAAAAATGCATCAGCTGTAGGACTAAATAGTGATCCTCCAAACACTAGCCAAAGAGGCATTTAGAGATTAAAGAAGTTTAAAATAGTTTTCCTTTTTCTTTTTGAGTGTGCAATATCTAACATGTCTAAAATTAGGGCATTTTTCATGGATCTTTTTGCAGACCAACTAATTAGCTCTTGCCACAGCACTATTTCCATACATGTTCTTCTCATCGTTTCTGTTCAGGTCATTTGACTCACTTTCCATCATCTCATAGTTGCTTCTCTTATTAACCAAGTTAACCTTTTAGGACAGCGTCTCTTCTCTGTGTTGATAGTAGTAATGATTCCAGAAGGATTCGCTGCTTTCACTCCAATTATTTAGCGAGCCCTTGAATGTTTCCTCATGTTATTTCCCCAATCACAATGTCTTTGCTACTCTGTTTCCTTGCTTTTCTATATATAGCTCTTTTGAAAGATGGTAATCTTTATTGAGGCTTTGCTTTTTAAGCCCTCTAAGATAAGACCATTAGTTCTTGATTCTGGTGCATTCCTAAACTCTGAAATCAACTCTGCACAAGTATTTGAGAATAAATGAGAATTTTTTTGATGCGTGAGCACATCCTTTTCCAGATGCTTTACGAATGTCTTCTCAATTATGTTAGACAGTCACAGCTCCACTGGGACCTTTTCTACTGCACCTTGATATTTCCTTTTCTCCAGTTGAGAAAAATAGGAGAAGCACAGTATGCAAGTAAGTTTCCTTCTGTTTAAGACTTAACAAATAATACCCACCATGAATGTATGAGAGGCAAAATTTGGCTTTCAATTTAATGGCAGTGTCATTTTATTCTCTCTTGTGACTGGAGCTCTCTTTACGGCGGAGCCACAGAACATAGATGTCGGCCTCTGCTGCACATCCTGTAATAGGTATAGCTTGCCAGAGATGATGATCTGGAACATGAAAATAATCTAACAAAAATACATTTACATTTATACTATGATTTGACCCTCGTATCATGTTTAAATAGCTTAAGAATTACAGAAGTCACATAGTACTTAATGGGTCTGTAAATAAGAGTTTAGTTTTGATACACATTCTTTAATTGGGATGCACAGAGTTTTTTGCTGGGTCAATACAGTGGTATGGTTTTGGTGAAAATTAACTATGTATGTCTCTCTGAAATGGACATTTCGGGTCTGTCACTTATTCCCCCATTCTCCATCCCCTTTGAAGCCCTTTGGGATGTTGAATTGTTCAGAAGCTAAAAGAGGAAATTTCAGCCGACAACATAGAATAAGAAAGTATATGTTGCCATGACTAGTGTATGGCTGTACACATTTTATCAGGGAAATTTTTTTGACCTAGGACTTATTACTGAATTTAAAAGAGATGAAAAAATGCCTTTTATGATTATGAAATAGCTTTTTTTTTTTTGGGGGGGGGGAATAGAGACAGATTTTTTTAGTCATTATTTTGTGCCAAAATACAGTTTTCTGAAGTTTCCTGTGCAAAAGTAGACCATTTCACTTTAAAATCTAAAGTTTTCTTTTGAGAATTGAAAGTATTTCGGAAGAGTTATAAAACTTTAGAATTGCAAGGGATGTTGGAGTATAGTACTGCTCCCTCAAGATTTATAAACCAAAATATTTTAAGATTGAACATTTGTGTAATTATCCCCAATATGCTTATCCTATTTTCCATGGATATTATTGGCTTTTACCTTGTCTCATTGAAACATTGCATTAAACTTTTCATACACTTGAATGGATAAGCTACCTAATATAAAAATAAGAAATATGCTTTTGAACTCTTAACCTCAGAGTTTATAAAGTTCTTATATTACAGCCTTTATTAAAGCACTTAAGGAAATATGGCATGTTGGCCTTCATTTAGGCTGTTTTTGTTTTTAACAGCAGAGCTGAGCACACACTGGATACATTTGAATGTGTTTATTTACTTCCTTATGAATGTTGCATTTGGCAGGAAGATCCAGAATGACTAGGGAACTGCCAACTTGTTTGGATTGGCTTAAACTTAATTTAGACTCCATTCCTTAATCGGCCAGTATGAAGAGATGCCAATGCTCATAACTACAGTATCAGAAAACTTAGTGTGGTTCACACATCAGGAACTTTTTTTTACTGTAAACAACCTCAAGAAAGTCCGAAACAATTAAATTCACAATAACTGTCCTGCTAAGAGCTCTATATTAAGATTTCCATTCTGTTTTACCAATTGGGAACACCTTGATGTTTAATATTTAAACTATTGGTATCATTTTTCTAATGTATAAATTGCATTACCAGGATAAAATATGAACAGTGGTGATTCTAGTGTTGAAACAAGTTTTGGAAACACTGCTTTCATATTTTGAGATGTCATGGATATAGTAAGTTATATTTTAAAAATTCACAGTAGTTAAATTCACAGTTAACCTGATCAATAAACATTTTTATAATAATTAACATACAAATATTTCAGTAATGTAAATTGTTCAAAAAGATGCTGCAGGTTATATTTTAAAATCTTGGTCAAATAATTTACAATTCACAGAAAATTTAAGGAGGTGCTTTTTTTCTTTAAAACTTGATTTTTCTTAATTAAGACTTTATTCATGCCAAAGTTAATAAGGAAAAAAGCTCAACACTGGTTGGAGATCATTATAGGTAAAACTACCAATAGTCTGGGTTTTTCCATTTAATATTAACTTGAATAAAGTAAATTTTATTCCATTCAGAGCCTAAATCACATATTTAATGTCTGCATGTTTGATATTCTTTTTAAATAGTATCATACTAGTGCCAAGATTTATTAAATGTCTTAAATTGGTCCATTGGGCCCATGCAAATTCAAATTTTGAGTCAGTACATAAGCAAAATACAGTAATAGAAATTAAAATATCTCCAGTTGAAATAAATCTCTATGTTTTTAAATTCTCAAGAAGATTCAGTAATGAATTTTGATGACTTCTATTAAAAACTTTATTTGCAACTGGAGAGCCCAATGACCTCTACTCTGAAAGTAAATAGTTTGTTGTATCTGGGCACTAACAAGTATGGAGATATTACATGTGTGATCTTAATTAAGAAAAACCAGATTGGATCAACTAGTCATTTCAGCAGTGTCAATAATTTTTCATATCTTAAGAGAAAAATTTTCCTTTTATCCTGGACCCTTTATGAACCAGCATCTTTTGCTAAAGAGATGAACTGGCTTGTATTTTTTAAAGTCTTCCATTAGCAAAAATATTTTGTTCCGTTTTGCTTCTATGAACGAAAATATTATTGACATCGTTAATTCTTGAATTTTGATGTTTTTTTATTTGAAGAAAATCTTTGCTATTTTTGCCCAACGTGTCCTGGTATTTTGAGAATTAATGCTAGTTCATAATTTTTAATCTTACAGTAATTGGCATATTAACAATAGTGCGTAAGTAAATATTTTAAGACTATGGATTCATAGACAAGGATGGGAAGCAATAGAGAAATATATATGAAAATTCCTGATTCATTTAGGAAGCACTTCACCTGTTTTTTGCATAGTTCAAGTGAAGAATGTCTCCAGGAATTAAAAAAAAATTTTTTTTAAGAGAAAAACATACATTTGAATGTGAAAAATTATCTAATTTCTACAACACTGGACTACCAGAAAAAGAACTTTGTAAAAATTATTGTTGTGTACAAACTATTTGAAATTCAAGTACAAAAAACACCTGATAAAGTATGGTCTTTTGGCCGTGACTACAATGCACCGTGGCAATGCCATTTGCTCAGGACCCAGCACTGCAGCCCTGTGTGCGCCTGGCTTGAAGTTGTGTTGCGGTTATACTACACACACAGATCTTCCCGTCTGGTCCGTAGAAAAGCCAGGCTTCCAAAGCACTGTTGAACACTGAGATTCTATTGTTAAAGTGGCTGTTCGATGAGTTGTATTTTAAATATCAAAGATTATTGAATAAAGATAATGTTTGCTTTTTTATTTCTGTTTTTATTTGTGTTGACAGTTAATTCCTAGCCTTGCTCTGCAAAGGATGGTCAGAAGACCAGTAGCCTCCTCCACAGCTTTTCAGAGAGGCCGAGCTTCAGGCCACACCCACGACTGGCTGGGAACCTGCGATTTTACCAAGACCCCTAGGGAACTCACATGCAAATTCAAGTTTAGGAGGCATTGTATGGGCTGCATGTGATTAATAAAATGGGAGGGGGGCACTGATAACTCCATTCCAGCCAGCTGCTACCCAGCGCTTCATTATGACTGGAACCTCTCCTCTTGTCTAAGATGCTAAGAAGTCCAAATTTTTACTTGAAATCTGATTTTTAAATGATTGCTCAATCGTTTTTTAACCCCGAGGGCCAAACAAAGCACATTGGTAACAATTTTTTTTTAAGAGTGCCATTTTTTTCTTCCTCCGACTCAACACGGGAACCCAACTAGTAGTTAGAATCCTAGTTTGAGGATTCTACAGTCCTTAAACCATAATGAAGGCTTATGTATCCATTTTATCCTTATCCTTAATTAGGATTGGGCACAAAGAAAATTTTCGAGTTGATTACGTGAGTCTGGCAAAACCTCCTAGCTTAAAACCTAGAAGGAGGGGCCCCTAGTTGGCTCAGTGGGTTAAGTGTCTGACTTCAATCAGGTCATGATCCGTAGGTCCTGGGATGGAGCCCCCATCGGGCTCCCTGCTCAGTGGGGAGTTTGCTTCTCCCTCTGCCTCTGACCCTCCCCCCTGTTTGTGCTCTTGCTCTCTCTCAAATAAATAAATAAAAATCTTTAATTTCAGAGCATCAGAGGTAAAGAGAAGATTCTACAAGCTTCCAGAAAAAGGTCTACAGAATAATCAGAAAAATGGAGCAAGGGAAAAAGTGTTGAGTCTAAGCAAATAAAACTGATGCTTTCTTGCAAACAGAATTAGGAGCATGTTTTACAGTTCTCTTGATGAGTTTTAGAATGACTTGCAATTCTGTAGTAACAGAAAAATGTGCAAATTAAAAATATGGAATCTGCTAACCTCAGGAAGAATAGTTGAAAAATAATTGTAACTTAATACAACCACTTGGCTCGGGCGATGAACAATGCAGATGCCCTTGTATAAGGTAAACACTGATTACTGATTTACCAATAATATCACCATACTGGGAGCTCAAATGGATGTGGAGACATAGGCTAATAAAAGTACAAAACTCTCCATAATAGTCAGTGGACAATATCTAAGATTAAAGAAAAAAAAATGGCAGTTTTAAGTATCATTTAGAAATCCAGAGGGAAAGATCAGACTATTTTTTAAAAAAAGATTTTATTTATTTGACAGAGCAAGCACAAGTGGGGGACCAGTAGACTTCCTGATATGTTTGTGCAGGGTTGGTTTTTCTGTTGTTTGATAGCGAGCATCTGTGTTAGCTACAGGGATGTTTGGCAGGAAGAGGAGACATCTTTAGCCCAAACTTCAACCTGGATGTCTTTTCACTTTTTATTATAAAAAATTCTTGATTATATGCAAAAGTAAAAGACTAGTATAATGAACCTCCATCCATGTACCCAGCTCAACAATCCTCAGTTAATGGCGATTCTGGTTTCACCTGCACCCATTATTTTGAAGCCCATCACAAACATCGTGTTATTAATCAATCTTTAAGTCTGTTGGGCCATAGTTCATGCCACAGGAAAAAAATATACCCCCATAAGGAACTTTTAGGACATGGCTTTTTATGTTAGTTAGTTAAAAGATGATGTAAAGACATGTATTTGTGTTCATTAATTGCAGTGTCTTTACGGCATGATATGAATTTATAGGATGGCGCTCCAGGAATTTACAGCTGTAGGCAATAAAAGCTTGATTCACATGAGAGCTAAACCTTTCACTGTTGTCCAGAAACCCAGTTAGATCCTAAGTTCATGTGCCTCCTCTGCTCAAAGCAGTTTCCCACTCTGCCAACTGTGTCCCATCCTTAGGACATCCCTGCCTTAGGCCCTTTGCGTCAGTTGTTTCTTCCTGCCTGTTCTGCTCTTTCCCATATATCCATATATTTCACGTATCTCCCTCTTCTCCCCCTTCCCCCAAGTAAGCTTTTGGCCCAACTCGGAGCTTAAACTCACAACCCTGAGATCAGGAGTCGCATGCTCTACTGACTGAGCCAGCCAGGCGCCCTGACATATCTAATTCTCCTAATTCCTTCAAGTATCTGTTCAAGTGTCCCCTTATCAGTGAGGCCTTCCCTGACTACAGTCTGTAACATTACAAGTGCCTCTCTTTCTTTACCCTGTGTTTTTTTCTCCAAGTAGTCATCACCTGTCTTATATTTATTACATGTTATGTCTCTTTCCAGTAGGACGCAAGCTCCATGAGACCAGCCAGGAACTATGTATGTTTTTTCCTTGCACTGAGCCCCCAGTGCCCAGAATAACAGCAGACACATCAACTTGCAGGTCATCTGTATGCCACATTTTTGAAACTTTACAAACACTTAAGTACAACTGGGTCCCAAGCACTGCTCTAAGCACTTAAAAATATTACCCTATTTAATCCTCCTAATGACCCCACCCAGCAGACACTGCTATTATCATTCTCCATTTTACAAAAAGAGAAACTGATGCAGAGAGGTTAAGTAACCTACCCAAGGTCATACAGCTAGTTAGTAAGACATCCAAGCAAGTCAGGTCCCAGAATCTGCACTTCGAACCCTTGGGCACTGACGCCTTTCAAATAAAACATTTAAGAAATATTTCCAGAATGGGATGCAATTTTCTTTCTTTCTCTTTCTTTCTTTTTCTTTCTTTCTTTCTTTCTTTCTTTCTTTCTTTCTTTCTTTCTTTCTTTCTTTCTTTCTTTCTTTCTTTCTTTTTCTTTCTCTTCCTTCCTTCCTTTCCTAACTTCCTTTCTTTCTCTCTCTCTCTCTCTCTTTATTTTCTTTTAAAAGCTCAGATTTCCAGAGCTACTACTGCTAGGCGCCATCAGATTCTGAACAGTGGAGGCATTCCTGATGTTCCAGTCATGAATAGTGAGTGTCCTGTACGGTGGCCCCTCCCGTAAATAAAATCAAATATATTTATAGTGTTTTGCCTAGAAAGACTGCAGACGACCTATCTACTTTTTTTTTTTTTTTTTTTTAGAGCAAAGAACGTGGTGGTCTCTCTGGCCAGGTGATGTGCGTCTGTCACCCGCGTGACCTTTCCTCCTCTAGGGAGCAAGTCGGGCAAGGGCAGGACAGTCCGCGGTGTGCACCCACTCGTGTAGGGGGACGGTGGGAGGGGCGGGCACTTGCACACAGTGTCACCAACACTATAGGAGAGTTTATTAGAACAGCATTTCTGCATTCTTCATACTAAGTTGTCCCGCTGTCCCCTGATGAGGGTTGTTTGTGTTTGTGTCTTAATTTCACGGGTTAAAATCGGCTTCAGGAACAAAGCTCCCGGTGCATCCAGGAAGGCAGGATTTCAGCTCTTGAGCTGCGAAGCTCCCGGGGCGGGGGGCATGACGGTACACACAGGAGCGAGTCTGCGGCGCGTCCTGGCCGTCCGTGTCCCGAGCTCCCACCGTCGCGTCGGGCACACGGCAGCCCCCGCGCCTGCAGAAGGACCGACACAGGAACCGCGGGCGGCGCGGCGCCCCCTCCTTGCGCGCCCCCTCCTTGCGCGCCCCCTCCTCGCGCGCCCCCTCCTTGCGCGCCCCCGCAGCGCTGCCCTGGTGGAGCGGGAATGAGACACGCGGGGCTCACCCACAGCCGGAGGGCGCAGGGGCTTCCCGGGCTCCGCCGCGTCGGCCGGAGGAGCAGGTGCAGCGGGCGGGGCCCTGCGCCACCCGGGCCCCTGAGGCCACGCCCCCGCGGCCCGAACGGCGCCGCGCGGACGCCGACCTTGCCCTGCGCCGGAGGGGGGCGCCGGAGGGGGGCGCCCGAGCCGGCCGCTCGCGGTCCTCCGCGATCCCACGCTCCCTTGCGCCACGGACACGTCCGGCAGCCCCGCAGAGCTCTTCTGGGCCGGCGCGGCGCCTCTCTATGGTCCGCCGCCGCTCCCAGGGTGGGTGTCGTGGCGGCCGGCGTCGAGTTGGCAGGAGTTGCCCTCGGAACTGGGGAAAGTCATTAAAGCAGGGGAAGCAGTGGCCCAGCCCGGACGTTGCGGGGCGGGGGCGGGGGCGGGGCGGGGGTCGGAGGAATGAGCAGAGGCCGCTGGAGGCGGAGCCCCGCTCACGTCCCGGGCCCGGCCTCGGCGTTTCTGGGCCGAACCCGGCGGCCGGTGGGAGCCCGCGCGGAGCCGGCGTTGCCAGGAGCCCCTCATTGTGCCGTCTGGCCTGGAACCTTCGGCGCGGGCCGGCCCGGCGCAGGCGGGTTCGGGGACGTCTGGCGGCATCGTCCGACGACGCTGGCCGCTTGTCTGGGGGCGGGCCCGGTCGTTCTCTAAGCCGCCGCGATGTCGTCCTGGCTCGGGGGCCTGGGCTCCGGCCTGGGCCAGTCGCTGGGGCAAGTCGGGGGCAGCCTGGCCTCCCTCACCGACCAGATCTCAAGCTTCACGAAGGACATGCTGCTGGAGGGCGCGGAGGAGGTGGAAGGTAACGGCGGGAGCGCCGGGCGGGAGGGGGGAGCGCCGATGGGTGCCCGCGTCCGGCCTTCGCGGCTGCCGCCCCTCCTCTGGCCTTCAGGCTCCTTGTGGCCTCTCTCCCGACAGACGTTCCCTGCTGGACGACCCCGGGGCCCGGGCCGGGCTCTGCCTGCCCGGGTGAAGGCCGCGGCCCCTCAGAGGGGTGAGAACTGCTCCTGCGTCGAGCAGTTTATTTTTGTCTGGTCCCTCCACGCCCACCGCTTGCTTGCTTTGCCTTTAGTTTGGGGGCGGGTCTGATTTTCGTCCTTTCCCTTTATACTGACACAATCAAAAAAAAAAAAAAAAGAAGAAGTAGTAGTGTCTGCGCCTGGCACAGTCACTTCCCCCCTGGAGTTGTGTGACAGCTGGAGCGACGGATCACGGTCTTTAGGACGCTCAAGTTC